GATTTGGAGGTAGAAATGCGGAAACCATGGTCTGTGGCCCATGAAGAGATTAAAGATATTGCAGGCTGGATTACTTGACGAAGAGTATGTATGGCAGGGCTCGATGCATACATGATAAAATCGTCTACATGCAGCGAGAATCGGATACCAGGTGTTAGTACCGAAATTAACAATATGGTGCCGAGTAAACTCCCTCGTGAGACACCTTCAAGTTGAGAAAACAATGTTGAAAGGTACGATTGGAAAGGAATAATTTAATGAATGCAACCATGTTCTCTTGTATATCATGAGGCGATAACAGTTTTAAAATGTGGTATCCCCATGTAGTATCACATGCCTTTTCCAGGCTGAAGAAAACGGCTAATTGTGAGTTATGGCGTGCGAAGGCAGATGTGATGTGATTTTCAAAATGTGCAAGTGGGTCAGCTGTGCTTCGAGCATGACGGAATCAAAATTGGGGAGAAGGGAGGAGGCTGTAGGATTAACTATAAGTCGTAGGTTAACCATTCTTTCCAGCAAATTGCATAAACAGCTTGTCGGAGCAATGGGACGGTAGACTTGAGGCAAGGTTTCGGGTTTATTAGGTTTAAGGGAAGGTAGGAAAAGTGCTTTAAGCCAGTGTAGAGGGAAGTTTCCAGTTGTCCAAATATTGTTGTAGATTGTCCGTAGGATAGGATAAGGAGGGTGGAAGATGTAGCATATACGGTAATGTATACTGTCACGGCCCCATGTATATTGCGCACGACTGTAAGGCAGGAAGAAGTTCAGCTGAGAAGAAGGGGGAAGTGTTGTGCTCTAAAGAGGATAAGGAGTTTGAATGGATTAGAAGTGGGGAGTAAGGTGAGCGCCACTACTGATCTGGCTGGAATATGCAACAGGTTCAATGGCAACTAGGAAAGGTTCAGAAAGTAGGATATTACGGATGAGGGGGATGTTTCCCTGATGGATTATGTTACACTGTAGAAATAGGTGTAGGGGTGGTAACTGTGGAGACGTAATTTTGCCAGCTGGTTTTAAGAGAGCTTCGTATTGTGCGGCGCAGTTGAACATTTTTTTTTTTTATTGATTAGACCTGATAATTGGCTAGAGATATTTCCCTTGTAAGGACAACTACAGCATGCTGCATGCTTCATTCGAAGCGCTATGGAGCATTCAGTGTTCCACCATGGAACACATTTAGAGGTGTTTAGTTGAGAAGTTCGAGGAATGCCTGTAAAGGCAGCATTCTGGACAGTGACTGTGAGATAAGAAAACGTGTCTAATGTGGAAGATGAGGCAGAGTAGAGAGAGAGAGGTAAAACCATTCCGCTCTATTAAAGCACCAGCCTGAATGTAAGGAAGCGGGACATAGGGAGTAAGAGAGAGGAGAATAGGAAGGAGATCGCCCTGGGGAAGGTAGTCCAGAACTGGCCTGTGGAAGTCTAGATGAAGAGATGGAGAGCAAAGATAAAGGTCAAGGCATGAAAAGGTTTGGGTTCGCATGTCAGAGTGGGTGGGCGGTCTGAATTAAGAAGTATAAGGTCAGTGCTGGAAAGAAAGCGTTCCTGGGAACGGCCTCGGGAAGTATCGGTGGAGTCACTCCAAAAAGTGTGGCGGCAGTTAAAATTACCGACTATGAGGAATGGCGATTCAAGTTGAGAAAATAAAATTTCAAAGGCATCAAAGTCAAAGGGAATAGACTGGGAAAAGTAGTCTGAAACAAGTGTGATCCAGCGGCGAAAAAAGACGACTAATTGTGAAACGGAGGCATACGGCCAGTTTGTTAAAATTGTGCGAGGCCCGACCGAATTAATATTCATATATACGGCCATGCATATGCACAAAAATAAATGTTTTTGTCTATCTATCTGATAGATATACATTAACCTATCTATCTGCTCGGTAGGTATTCTTGCCTAAATGGACAAATATGTATTTATTTCTGTATATGCATGTATGTATATATGGATATTCATTGGGTCTTCCCTCGCACAAATAGTGTATGGTGAAAGACTGTGACAAAAGGAATTCATGTTTGTATCCAGTAGGGCAGGAGTCGGCAATCTTTTGAGCATAGTGTACCAGTTTATAATTAATGCCTTCTTACTGATAACCTTGCGTGCCAGTTTTTCAGCACTGTAATATTTAAGTAGCATTTAGTATTCTTTGTAACAAAAAATATATGTTTTATGATTTTAGATTTAAGCTCAGCCATATTGATATCTGAACACAGCTTCAAACGACCCTCAGAGTGAATCGTTGTAAGCCTGCTGCGATGAGGACTGAGGGTATGCTGCATGTGTGAAAACATCTGGCTCACATTGGTATGTCGATCCAAATCCTGATAGCAATGCCAAAGCTACTTTCTTCGTGCAACTGAATTTATCACAGTGGTGTCAGGGAACTTAATATGGAGGCTGCACGATTCTTCGCAGTAGTTTCCAATATTTCTCGATTTTAAAATTTAGCAGACCTTAAAAATAAGACTCTCTCTCTCTCTCTCTCTCTCTCTCTCTCTCTCTCTCTCTCTCTCTCTCTCTCTCTCTCTCTCTCTCTCTCTCTCTCTCTCTCTCTCTCTCTCTCTCTCTCTCTCTCGACCTCTGCATTAGGGAGTAGAAGGGGTAGTGAGGAGGGAAGGGGGTTTGGTGTGGGTGAAGGAGAGGATGGGGTATGTTGGGAAGGAATAGGGGGATATGAGGGGGGAGTATAAATGTCGGCAGTCACTCTGCAGACGAAATGGAAGTAATGAAGTTAGAGTATGGGTGAGAGAGAGATGTCCTCAAGGATTTTTGGAGAGAAAATGGGTGGGGAGGTTTGGGAAATGAAGGTTTTTTTATGAGGAGGTGAAGAGGAGATAGTCATCAGAGGAGTAGATATAGGTGTGGGAAGGGATGTGGTAGGAGAAGATGGGATGGAATGTTTGGATTGTCAGTTGCGATAGGTACGGCGAGGAGTAGAGTGAGACATAGGGGCAGTTGTGGATATTGGAGTATCTGGATTTAGAATGGAAAATGGATTTGACTGGGAAATAGGCGAAGTAAGGGTGGGAAGTGGGGAAGAGGGTTGAGCAGAGGAGAGAGGAGTGGAGTGAAGGGTGGTACTGGAGTAGGGAGCGATTGAAAAACCTCGTCGGCGTGCTTCCTCTCTGGCCTCTCGTAGAGTGAGGCCAAGTTTGTATCTGAAAACTGCCACCTCAGAGCAGCCACTATGAGATGCACTATGGGAGCTACCGCAATTGGCACATAAACGTAATTGTGCCGGGTAGTTTGAACGGCCGTGACCAGGTTGGGCACACAGAGGGCAGTATGGCCAAATCACCTACATTTCTGACACTGATGTGGTGAAGGTTGATGTGGTCTGACAGGACAAGATTCCCCCTCTATATGGACCTTATAGGGAATGTCATGTCTACGGAAGGTAATCTTGGCAATACTGATGGGGACTTACGGCGGACTTTGGGGGTAATAGTGTGGCACTGTATTGATACTGCATTGTAGTCAACGACGTAGGCAAATAGGTCTTCTTCACAGTCTGACCAATCGTTGTCGTTGACAGGGCGCTCATCCGGGGAGATGAAAACAGTTCCAGTACAGGCATTAAGGAAGGAGTGGAGTTGGGTAGGAATAAGTTTGTCAGTAAGGGCAACCAGGATAGTGTATGGGCTTCGGACTCGGATGTAACTGACACGGCATGAGTGATCGGGACGGCTGCGGAAGGAAATTTTGCCTACTTCTTTTTGGAGGCATTGTTAGAAGAGGAAGGTATTGTCGCAGTAAGGAGCTGTGGGGGGCATCGAAAAGAATCGATCCCACTTGGCTGGGCTAAACAGAGTACTCAAAAGGTGTGTAGAGGTGGGAGTTGCAGAGGGGCGAGGACGGGAGGAATGGGGAGTGGTGTGGAGTGAGGTAGTACTGGGGGGGGCAGTAATGTTGAGCAGTTGTAATAAGGGAAGAGGGAGTAGAAAATGAAGGCGGTTGTGCAGAAGAGATGGGGTGGGGGATATTGCGAGGGAGGAAGGAGTGTCTTTTTATGGTAGTTGTAACATAAGTGGATCATTCGGGATAAGTTAAGTTGACCGCACGTGTCGAGGAGGAGGGTGTGGAAGTAGCGGTGCAAATGAAATTCAACTCCAATAAATGCCATGTAGTCAGGAAAGCATGGTTTCCTATACCAGTACAATTAGGAAATGCAGTATTAAGCAAATAAAATAATAATAAACAAAAACTTATGCCCAAATGAAAATTGAAAAGGTCCACAAAATGCTAGGGCCAATAGTTAACATGAAGAAAGAACTCATATTTCAGGATGAAGATATGGTAACGAACATCATTACAACTACCATAAGACCTTGTCTAGAGGGCGGTGCAGCTTAGGGGTCGGTAGATTTTTAGATCCTTTCTATCCCCTTTTTTATTTATCAAAATAATTGTTGCATTGTTCCAGGCTTTCGGGGGTTTCCCGTTAAGGCATTTGTTAAAAAGATTGGCTACTTTCAATGTTGCAATTTCTTCTGCATCTCATATAAGGCCTATACTAATTCCGTCTCACCTGGTTTTTTTTCCTCACTGCATGCCTTTCAGTGCTCATTTTGTTTCTTCTTTTGTGGTGATAGGTACGTCTCTAGTTACCGCGTTTGCTTCTATTTGTAGCCATTCATTTGAGTTGTATAGATCCCTGTAAAAGTCTTCCACTTACGATTTATGTTATACGCCACTTCTTCGTCTGGTTTCTTTATTACATACATATGATTTATCCCTATTCCGAGTCTCCTTTTAACTGTTTCCATGCTGGTACCTGAAATCACTGTTTCAGTTATTATTTGAGTATAGAATTTCCGTACATCTCTCTCCTTGCTATTTATAGTCTTTGTTAGTTCAGTCAATTCTATTTTGTCCCTGATTGACGATAGTTTCATGAACCTTCGGTTTTGCATAGTTTATTTTCTACCGAGACCTACCTCTAAATTAATAATTACTGCTTGCTACCCTAGTGTTTACCTCGCCAATAGAGCACGTATCCAT